CGCGCCTGCTCGGCAAGCGCGCGAAAGCACATTCCTAGCCGGCGAGGCTTGAGTGCGACGGCGTTCTCGTCCATGGTCTCCAAGGCAAACTCGGCCATGGACAGCTGCCAGACGGCATCTGTGCCCCACGCAGCCTGCGGGTTGGAGAGCAGGCGCAGCATGTCGCGCTCCTTCTCCTGCCAGAGCTCGCGCAGATTGGCGAGCGCAGTCTCAATCTCCGCCCGCTGCGCTCGCAGCAGCTGCGACCTCGCCAACGCAGATTGCCTAGTCTGCACACCGGTCTCGAGGGCCTCGAGTGCGTCTGCGGCCGCAGCCTCCGCCAGCTGCACGCTGAGGCTACCCGTCGCGACGCCAGCGGCGCTAGTCAGCTGCGAGTCCTCAAGGCGAGGCCGCTGCGCCGTCCTGGCGCCTGTGGCGGTCGCGGGTGACCGACCTTTGCCGTAGCCGGGTTGGCGAACGCAAGCGGAGGCGGTCTGCCCAGCCTTGGAGGCGGCGGCTGCGGCGGGCAGCCGCGCCTTTTGGACGGTAGACGCGCGAGAGGCCTTTTGAGCGGCTTCAGCTCGCTGACTGCGCGTCTGCTTTTGGCACACCACCCACTCGCCGCCGACAGCCTCGTATTGTGGTGCTTCCGATCGTGACGAGGGCTCAGACGGACCGCGCGAGCCGGCTGCACCAGAGACCTCCTTTGGAGGACGATGAGCGCCTTGCATGACGCCCTTGGCCTTGCGGCCGTGTGCAGGCTTCTTCTTCGGCGCCATTGCGACCTGCTTTGAAGGCGCCTCGAAGCTAGCTCGATGGGTGCGGGTTCATCGCGTGTCTTTTCCTGCGGCCCACTGTGAAATCGGGACCTTAGCTCTCGTTTTAACACAGCCCGTAAGGTGCCCCGCCGGGGTGCCGGTTCGTTTTCCGCCCACGATCATGACCTCGGAGAACGCATTAGCCGCTACAGCGGAAGCTGTGATTTCGGCTACCTCGGCAATTTCGATGTAGCGGCTAATGCGTTTCGCGACATAATCGCTAAAACTCGAGCCAGAGCTATGGGCGCCGAGTTCGCCACCCAATTTGTGTTAAAACGGAAGCAGGGCTCGTGGTTCGTTAACTGTAGACCACACGGACGCGCGGCCGGCGGCTGAGAAGGCCACGCAGCCCCTCTTCCTGGTCACTGACGGGAGCACTGGTCGGCGTGTAGACCCCAAGATGGCGCTGTTCGCGCCTCCCGTCCACCACTACCGATCAGGTGGCCGGCCTGGGTGCCCCCCCGGCGGGTGGGAAAGGGCGCAAAGCTCCGTTTCATTGCCTACCCCTGTAGTTTTGACATAGTGCTCCGGCTCCGGTGACGCCATGCGCCCGCGCGCGGCGCGGCGTTCGGACGCCGGATTTTTCGCGCTCGCCACGCAGTCGAGGGTCGTGCCTGGTGTGCTGGAGGAAAGATATGGGCGGGTTTTGGAACTGCGCGCGGCGTATACACGTATACACATCGTTTATACAAATTAGACATGCATGAACACATCCGGATCATCTGGAGATCTCGATGTGGGATCTCCCACTGTCCCGGCCGTGTCCCGGCATACGTCAGTATTGTCTCTCCACGACGCACGAGGGGCGACGGCCGCTCCAATGCGCGACGCACAACATATCACTAACAGCACTCGCAGGTTCCGCTAGAGCAGTCTCTCTTCTCTGCCCAGACGTGCGCCTCGAAGCCATCGCAGCGCGCGCTCAGCCGCTCCGCCCACTCGCACGCGGCGCCCGCTCTGCGGTGGCCGAGGAGAAACACGTCAAAGTCGGCCTCGCTCCACGAGGGTGCCCTGTTGCCGCCCACGAGATCGAGCTCGCCCGCGGCAATCGCGCCGGCGAGCGTCGCAGCCGTCTCTCCACCGACGCTGCCGACGACGATTCCATTGCAGACGACCAGTATCAGCTGCGCGCCCGTTTCGGTTTCTGAGCACGCCGCCTCTAGGGCGACGGCGGCAGTGCCTCGCAGCATCTTTGACGTCATCCGCTGGAGAACCTCGCACTTGGCGTAGCAGAAGGCAAACTTGTTTACCGTGCAGTATGCTGGATGCGTGTCCATGAAGTCGACACGGACGCTGCCGAGGTGCAGCCGCGGGGACTCTTGGCCGGACCGGACGGGCATGCACACGCTGACGGCCCCGCCCCCGCCCTGGCCGAATTGCATC